ACCTGCATGCATGTTCTTGATATAAGATGCACCTGTATACCCTTAGTGCTGCTTGTATGAAGTATCTGCGTGCTTATAAATGAAACAAAAATGATGCAGCGCTACTACCATAAAAATTCTTCACACATAAATGAATAAGTGAAACAGTGCAAAATTAGTGACACAAATAACATAAACACACAATATTAAATAGTGCCAAAAAACTCATAAATAATCACATGTGACAAGTGTCAATACGAGGTCCTAAAAGGACCAAATAACATAAATGGTGCCCCAAGTAATCCAATGGGATCCAATAGTGCTCCAAATCAAACAAGTAAGTCACAACAGGACTCAATGTGCTAAAAAAACCTCCCACCGGAACTAAAAATCAGTTCCCACCATATAAAACAAAACACACGTGCATCCCAATCAACGCATAAACTAAGAAACTGATCATGCAAACAAACATGAATAAATGAATAAATATATAAAGTCCCGTGAGGTGTAAAACACCTGATAATATACAAAAAAACATATATAAAGTCCACAGCAATTCTTGAAGAAGAAAAACAAAAAAAACAAAACAAAAAAAAAAAAGTGCTGATAAATGTGCAGAGATATCCAAAAATGGCTGAATTGCCCGCTCACCTCCCTCTTGCGACCCGCACAGGGTCAAAAGGCCTTCAGGATCACTAACACATGGACCCTTAATAGTAGGTAATCCTCCACAGCTCTCCACACTGACCTCCCCTCATGTACAGATTCCAGCACAGGCTCACAGGCAGCAGATCTCCTCTTCAGACACATAAGGTGGCTGCAGCCACTTGATCCCTCAGATCAGATGTACTTGCATGGGTGTCCAATGTAAATAAAGAAGGCGTCCGACAGGAAGTGCGTCACCGCCAACGCGTTTCGTCACGCTTAAAACGTGACTTCATCAGGGCAACTTTTAGGAGCTCGTATTGACACTTGTCACATGTGATTATTTATGGTATTTTTTGGCACTATTTAATATTGTGTGTTTATGTTATTTGTGTCACTAATTTTGCACTGTTTCACTTATTCATTTATGTGTGAAGAATTTATATGGTAGTAGCGCTGCATCATTTGTGTTTCATATATATTTTTTGTCTATGGGTATATGACTGTATGTAGCAGCTTTACCTTGGTTGGTAGGTATTCGTTTTTAGGTAGGAGCGCAGGAGTTTGTCACATTGATTCGTGCTTATAAATGAATTTCCATTGGATAGAATATTTATAGTACTATCACTAAGCATTTTTTTCCTTCCCTTCATACAAGTAACTCTTTAACATTGGAAGACCATATATATATAATTCTTCTACGGCTGGCAATTTATGTGTAAATAAAGGCAAAACTTTTTTTTTCATTTGGGTAAGCAGGTGTAGCACCCTCCTGCAAACTATACCGAGTGGTACTTCTGGTTGGCTCCTAATGCATTCAGGAACGATTGCCCAGAACACAGGTTTCTGCATTTTGGGCATTCGTCTCTGAATGCGTAGGGGCCCTAAATGTGAGTACCACTCAGCGTAGCGTTTCAGCCGCAGCACATTTCAGCCTGCCATAGACTTTATCAGGCAGGGGGGCTGAATGCTGCACCTGTGTATCCCTGGCCCACCATAACACTGGGATTGTATGCACAGGAGCTACACGCACCATGTGCAAGTGGCTTAGACAATGAAGGATCTTGAGTCAATAGCTAATCTTGACCCTGGATTTTCCCACCAAAAAATCTTTCCCGTTTAGAAAAACTCTGCACAAACTGCTAAATACAGTTAATATACCCAAACGTTGGTGTGCCTGAACTAGGATGGGTTTCATTTATCTGACAGATCCTCTTGGTCTTGATTTTATTTGAAACAGTCTTTATCAAATCTTATGTAACATACAGCAAAAGAAGAGGATTCCTGTTACTGCAGAATACAGTGGTATCTCAATCCTCGTCTATACAATTTCCAGGTTAGAGTAAGGAAAAACCACACATTTATTAGGTAGACCAAGGACATTCCATTACCCTGTTTTAATTAATTATAAGATGCAATTCGCGCCCAGAGTTTAGTTAAGTGTATGGCAATTCATAAATAAGTCTGTGTGGCACAATCATTTTGTATGAGATAGGTTATGGATGGGGCTAGAGCAGCTAAAATAGAAGGCCAAATAGAGTATCACTATACTGTATAGACCAGCAATGGGCAAACTACGGCCGGCGGGCCGCATACGGCCCGGCGGACCTTTTAATCCGGCCCGTGGAGCGTGATACATTGGCTGTCAGGATGTGTGTAGGCGGGGCAGCGTGACAAACGTGAGGGGAGCTAGGCTCCTCTCACAGCCGCCCTGAAGACCGGAACGGCGCGGGAACACGGCGAGAGGAACGCGCGGAGCAAAGGTAAGTGAATGAATTACTAAGGGGGATGAATTACTATGGGGGATGAATTACTATGGGGGATGAATTACTATGGGGGATGAATTACTATATGGGGGATTAATTACTATGCTTACTATGGGGGAATATTACTATACTTACTATTGATGACACATACACATCATTCATCTACTCTTGGTTCGGCCCTCGGGTCCAATATATGAACTCATTGCGGCCCTCAAGTCAAAAAGTTTGCCCACCCCTGGTATAGACCATTAAAAGAAAAGGATTATGTAACATGGAAATTAGAAGAAACAGAGAAGGGTAAGAAGAAGGGCAGAAAATATAATGAAAGGATCATTCTATCTTTTGTGTGTCAGTGGTTTCATCCTACTTGGAAATATCATTTATCTGGCTGGTGTGTTTAAAACAATAGGCCAAGGCAAAAAAAAAAAAAAAAATGAGAGCAGGGCTACATGACTAGGGGGACAAGGGAAATTTGAAAGAGTAGGAAAATTGGTGTTAACATAAGAAGGGTGGGTACCTACCTTGATTGGCTATTCTTTAGCGAGTAGGTGGGCTGAAAACAGGATTAGAAAGGGTAGGATCTGGAAAGCGGCAAAACAGTTGAAGCCATGGGACAAGGATTTCTCACCACACCATCCCACCATGCTTTGGATATGTGTTTAGTGCTGGTTTAGGGCATTTGCAGTTTGGGGTCTTTGGAGGCGTTAAAACTTTCATTAACAGTTCATAGTAGGACTTATCTGCAGAGTGGTGGATTTGTCCCCGAGCCCATGTAGGGCGGCTGGGGATAGTTAAGTAGCAACGCACATACAAACCTGATGTTGGTTATTTGGCGCCTCCTAAGATCGGCAACCTTTTATGTTATGTTAGTTGATTATTATTGTTTCTGTTTTAAGGAATGTTATTTTTGATGTTTGTTAATAAATGGACAACATGGCTACATATTCTCTATTTTGGTTTCGGGCTGCTTATTTGAGTAAAGTAAGTTGGGGAGTATGCCATAGGCACTTTGGTAGGATGGACTGGTGGAAATGTGTTGTACCCTAGTCCTGATTATTCCCGCATGTCATCATTTGATTGTTACCCAGCATATGACATCTATACTCCTTACACCGCGTTGGGGAATCTATGTGCCCTTTTAGTGTGGCTGTGGATCATCCATTTTTAAGTTAATGTAGTTCTAAACCCAATTACTACAATCTCACATAATCAAATATCAAGTCATTTTTAATCTTTTCATATCTCCAGCTTTTATTAAAAAAAAACTAGGTGGTCCTGCCATGAATGTCTTTATTCAGACACTTCCGGGTAAGGAGTGGCAATGCTCTGATATGTTTTCGCTGATATCCTCCTGCATTGTTACTGTGTCATATTTGCTTTCAGTACACATAAGAGTGCATGACAGTCAGGGCTGCTGTTAAATCACGTGACCACGTACAGCCTACCTGACAGAGTCCCCCCTTCCCCTCCGAAAAATTGGAGCTCGTTTACATGGTCACTGTGGCCTGTAGAGTGTGAATCAGTGGTTTGTTTATGTAGCTGGAGCTGTATGTATGAAGCCTTTGTTACTCTACTGGGACATAGCAGCTGTACAAACACAGCCACAGGTCCATAAAGACAGTGTGCATTCAGGGCCACTCACCCACGCCTGCACACCTGCCAGATTAGGACCTGTGGCTGTGTTCATACAGCCACAGCAATCCCTTAGAGTACCAGGCGGCTCCAGTTGCATGAACAATCCACTAGTGCGGGGTTAAAGCAAGTAGTGAGGAGACATTATGCCTCCTCACCATCTTTAAAAATGCTCTTTGAAGAACCATCTAAATACTGACCACTCTTCAGAATGTAACTAGTCCTTAATTTATTTTTTAAATTATTTTTTAGAATACTTTTTTAACATTTTATTTTGAATTGTATTATTATTATTTTTTCATTTTTGTTTTTTTTTTTTCATTTATTAACTGCCTTGTTGGGGGGGCATTGGTGAAATATCAGTGGTCTAACCAGAGCCCTGCTGTCTCACATTTGAGACTGAGATAGGGACTGGGGACAGAGATTCATCAAGTCCCTCTCTCTGCAGCCTCAGTTGCACAGATGAATGAATAGGAAGCCCTCTGAGACTCCCTGTGTATTCACAAACGGAAGCATAGTAAACACAATTTGCTATGCTTCAGTGATGAATGGATGCAGGAGCAATCGGTACCGATCACTCAGGAAAGGAGAGGGCTGGTAAATATGACATATTTACCACCCCCTCCATTCTGAAACTGATCCCCCTGTGTGCCTGTAGCAGCTGATGGTGGGACAGGAAAGGAGGGAGGTTGGAAGCACTGCCAAGGAAAGGGGCACACAGAAGGACCCAGACAGTAGGAGGGTAGGGGTGCAGATACTGGAGCCGATTCCCCTGCCACACAGGCAGAGGTAGAAAGGGGGAGGCACCCAAGGATCTATGTCTTCAATAAGACAGTACAGTTGGCCCTCCTGCTCAGCATGTATTATATAGAAGGTATAATTCATGTGTTTGCCCAATCAAATATGTATTTTCCTCTTAACATCTGATTATGTAATACTTTCCAGTGCTTGAAATGTAAGCTTTCTTGTCCTCCTTAGATGGAACACCAAAAATTAACTCTGCGTTCAGGGAGAAGGTGGTGAGCCCCGGAGAGCCCGTGTCCCTCATGTGTAATGTGAAAGGCACGCCTCTACCTACCATCACCTGGACCCTGGACGACGAGCCCATCATCAAGAATGGAAACCATCGCATCACTCAGATCATCACCTCCGACGGCAATGTCGTCAGTTATCTAAACATCACCAACACCCAGGTGCGGGACGGGGGAGTTTACTGCTGCACTGCCAATAATTCCGCGGGAGTCGTCCTGTACCAGGCTCGAATAAACGTAAGAGGTGCTTGTCAAATGAGCTCTTCAAAATATAAAAAATCAAAAACATAGTATTACACATACATACTTCATAATGTCATGCAAAAGGTTCCGAAACCCTAACTGAGGTTTCTCCATTGCCAACTTTATCTCATTTACTCATAAAAGGGGTTTTAATAGCATGTTTCTGTCAGTAGTGGCAAAAAAAGAGTCACCAGAACAAAGACATAGTTTAGTAGAAAAAATGTGTGAAAATTCTGTAAATGTTGTAGTGTTTTGGTACGTTTCTATTTCTTTTTGGACAGCTTTGGTCTCCAAATTGGATAAAAACAATATATAAATAACATGGGAATTAGTATACTTTACATTTAATTATCCCACACAGTTTTCAAAATAAAACATTATTCAGGATAGCTGTCCATTAAATGTGAATTTATCAGTAATAGAATAGTATTGGATTGAAGTTGATGGACTTTGGTCTTTTTTCAGACCTTATTTTCTAACAAAACTTTTGGTTGCTGTGCTGTAATTTTATAGCACCCTCCTAGATAAGTTACTAGACAAGCTAGGTAAATTTAGTTGTTTTTAGCTCTCTGTAATCAGTGGAGAAGTTTGTGATTGCTTTTGGCTGTTCTAGGCTTCACTGGCTGCAGGTTGAACTGCCTCCCCTGCCTTCTGGAGGATTCTAGAATGTTGTGATTTGGAGAAGGCACATCAACAGCCTGAATATTTATGTTGCCTAATCCAATCTCTGAAGGTGGGTTCCCAGTAGAGGCTGATGAGTTTATAAATAGTCTGGGGCCTGGGGCTGCCCTATTCTTATCTAGGAAGAGAAGTGCTGCTGCCCTTCTGGGCCACCCAATTGTAGTTCTTCATGTGATCATCGATGTTCCAGCTATACTAGAGCTTTCTTGCTGAAAACACTCTGGAACTGATTAAAAGATTTCACTGAGAACCTGGTCTGGAACGTTCATGGGAGAAATTTCTGGCTGACATTAGAAGAAGGCATCCAGGTATCCAGTGAGATTGTGAGTACAGACCTGAGTGTAGGATCCTAGTGACTGTGTACTGCTGCAATCCCTTGTACTTCAGTGCCAAGGCTTGCTTAAACTGGGAAAGTTCTTATGGTGTTTCAATTCCACTCATTGTCTTAGTTGTTACTAGAGGGACTGTACTAAGAAGCTTTGACAAAGTGAAGAGTGTCCTCTTACTGCACTGTGTTACTGGAGTATCCCACAGCTCCCTGTACCCTATCCAAGCTCAACTTACAATAAAGCACAGGTCTCCAAACTTTCTAAGCAAAGGACCACTTTATGGTCCTTCAGGTTTTGGGTGGTCTGGACTGTGGTCAGTGGAAACAAGCAATGCCATACTGTTGGTTTTAATGGAAAGAATAGCGCCCCATTGATTCTGTTAGTAAGAGGAATGGTGTCTGTCCCATCATTGGTGTAAGTTGGAGGAGTAGTACCCCAAGGGCCAACTAAAGGTAAGCAAAGGGCCACATCTGGCCCTTGGGCTTAAGTTTGGAGACCACTGCAATAAAGCATCAAAAAGATACCTCTAGACTGATCTTTGAGCCAGGAAAAGTGACTGTTACTCTGTGCCTAGATGCCAGTACACCAGCTTGGGAATAGAACCTGGGGCAAACACAGTGGGTCCTATAGGGGTGAGCGCTACAATATACAAAACAATTTTTGTAGCTTTGTCTTATAGGTTACATTTTATTTTTGAGTTCACTCTTCATGTTCAAAGTTTTCTTTGTAGTTTGTATTTTGTGGCTGTTACAAAATCCTGGATATACTTAAGGTTGTTTAGCAGTCCTGAGGGTATATTTGTCCCTGGGGAATGCTAGGGAGTGTTACAATCCTCTAGCAGAGATTGTGTTGTAATCATATACAAAAAGGTAACGTTTCCAGTTCCATTTCTACCCCTTTTTAGTTGGAGGCCACCAGCCAGTTTTAAAACACTTTTAATAACACTAATTTTTACATCCCTCCACTCCATATCATCCACCTCTCCATTAGGTATTCATTTCTGCCTTCTAGAATCATATAGTGCTTTCTTATGTTCTTATAGGTCCAGCAAGCATTCGACCAATGAAAAACATTACAGCAATAGCAGGGCGGGACACGTACATCCACTGTCGTGTGATTGGCTATCCATATTACTCCATAAAGTGGTACAAGAATTCCAACCTCATCCCATTCAACCACCGCCAAGTGGCATTTGAGAACAATGGAACGCTAAAGCTGACCGACGTACAGAAGGATGTAGATGAAGGGGAGTATGCATGTAATGTCCTTGTCCAACCACAGTTGTCCACAAGCCAGAGTGTCTACGTTACAGTGAAAGGTGGGTTTTGTTAATGTCAAATTCTTTCACCAGCAAAGAGCTATGGAAAGAAAAATAATTGTTTAAAAATGCTTGTTTTTTTTGGTGTCATAAAGAGTCTATATCAGGGTCTCCAAACTGTGGCCTGCGGTCCAGATGTGGCCCTTTGCTTGCCTATAATTGGCCCTTGGGGCACTAGTCCTTCCACTGATAAGAGGCATTATTCCTCTCACTGACACCAATGATGGGGGCACTATTCCTCCCACTGACACCAACAATGGGGCACTAGTCCTCCCACTGACACCAACAACAGGGCACTATTTCTCCCACTGATACCAATGATGAGGCACTATTCCTTACACTGATTCCAATGATGAGGCACTATTCCTCCCACTGATTCCAATGATGAGGCATTATTCCTCCCATTGATACGAATGATGGGGCACTATTCCTCCCACTGGTACCAATGATAAGGCGCTATTTCTCCCACTGATACCAATGATGGGGCGCTATTTCTCCCACTGACACCAATGGTGGGGCACTATTCCTCCCACTGATACCAATGATGGGGCACTATTTCTCCCACAAATACCAAATATGAGGCGCTATTCCTCAGTGATACCAAGGATAAGGCACTATTTCTCCCACTGACACCAATGATGGGGCACTATTCCTCCCACTGGTACCAATGACGAGGCACTATTTCCCCCACTGATACCAATGATGGGGCACGATCCTTCCACTGATACCAATGGCGGGACACTATTTCTGCCACTGATACCAATGATAGGACACTATTACTCCCACTGATACCAATAATGGGGCACTATTCCTCCCACTGATACCAATGATGAGGCAATATTTCTCCCACTGACACCAATGATAGGACACTATTCTTCCCACTGACACCAATGATGAGGAACTATTTCTCCCACTGACACCAACGATGGGACACTATTCTTCCTATTGATATCAATGATGCTTTGTGATGTCATTTTTTCACCGACCAACATGGTATTGTTTACTCCCACTGGCCACAGTCTGGCCTGCCTAAATTTTGAAGGGTAGTAAACTGGTCCTTAGTTTTGAAAATTTGGAGATCCCTGGTCTATATCACAATCTGGATCATGATCAGAACTGCTGGATGCGCAAACAAGGGAAATTAATACAACCCCACTCTAAAGAAACTCCTCTAATCAAAAGCTGCACCACTCTCATTTAGGACATTTGCAGGTGTATAACTCATTATTCAATACACTGTATAAATTTGCATTTTTATAAGTCAGGAGAAATAGAATGCATTAACCCTACAGAAAAAAAATTAAAAAGAGAGTACACCTTGGCTCCAAATACAAAACTGGTAAATATCACTTGTCATAGGTGCTTCAGGCGTCTGATCAACAAAACTGAAATAAATAATAAAATAACATTTGAACACTTTCTTTATCTCCCATTTCAGTGGAACGCCTTAACGTTGAACTAAACTATATCTGAGCACCACAAACTGAAAACACAATTTAATTCATTTTTAATATTCAAAGCAAACTCCCCCATCTATCCATGTCTCCATGCTTTTTGTTGAGAAATCACTTTGAAAAAACACACCCCTCACATTTCTAGCTGCGGCCATTCTGAGTAAGGGCAAATGATTCACATAGCATTTACTTAATGGAATCCATATGCCCTTAGCTCGGGCAAGCAGGCAGGAGGGTGTGCTTAGCTGAGAAATTTGCTTCCCCCCTCGTCCCATGAAGACTCCTGGAATGCACAACATCATTTTAATCTAGGCCAGAAACCAGGAAGCAACTAAAGAAACTTAAAAAAATAAAAAAGTTTAAAATAACTAAATATAATATATCTTCCTATCTATTTACTTATGATAGCAGCATAAGGATTAAAAAAAGATTTATATAGTCGTGCAGCAGATAGTCTATGTGATATTATTCTATAGCCAATCTCCATGTCTAAAAGGGCTCTCTGGTCTACTTGTGCCAACACCTTTTATTGACTTTCACGAAAGTCAGATCTCTGTTTTGTGCTGATTCACATAAGGTACCAGTTTAAAGAATATGTAAACCCAACATTTCCTATTCCTGATATGTGCCTGCTGTACCATGTACTTGTATGAAAAAGACCAAGACCAGAAGTTCTAAAAAGACAACTGTACTTTCCAGTTGGTTCCCTTCCTTTGGTTCCTTTTGGCCCTTTTACCATAAGATGACTGATTTTCTTTCTTGCCTCATCACTTTTCAAACATTTCTCCGTGGAATCCTTATTTCTCCTCCCTTGCGCTGACAACAAGCATACCTGAGACAACTGTATGTATACCTGTACGAAGTGGCTCTGAGGGCCTGTCTCCATGCTATAAAACCACAGTACTGCATGCACATGGAATCACCAGGGTATAAAGAACTGATTTACATAGCTCAGTGCTCGGTCTTACATGAGGAATAAATCTCTTGTTTTTCAGCTTTGTGATATATTGAGGATATGTAAATACCTTCTGTTTAAGAAGCCAGTGCTGAACATTTGTGATAAGAAATGCTTATGTTGTAGGAGATTCTGCAAGCAATTACTCCCGGTCAGAGCAGAAACTGATTACAGATGCTTAATTAAAAGATTTGCTCTGAAAGATGCAATCATAAACCTATTTCTTCAGGGACCTCTGCTTAATGTACTGCTATCTATTTTTAAAAGGGTGATAACCGGTTAGGCAGATTCAGGCTGCCATAGCATGCACATGGCGTCACTGATCTCCAATTGGAGACATATCCCAGAACGCTACAAGTCTGGACTGCTCAGAAACATAAGAGACAGGACGTGCGTAAAGGACAAGTTCACCTTTAAGTAAAAAGCCCACCTCTATAGACCCTTAAACTATCTTCAGTTTAACCACCAACCTGGTGCTTACGTAGTTCTTCTATTGCCACAAATAACATCACTGGTCTCAGACTCCTGAACTGCAGACCTAACCCAGCACACTACAAGTCTGGACTGTTCAGAAATAGAATGTGCTTAAAAAAACAAGATCACGTTAAGTAAAAAGCCCACATTCATGGCCCCTTAAACTATCCTTAGCTGAGCCCTTACCCAGGTGTTCATTTACTTCTTCCATTACCACAGCATATTGATGGCCTCACTGGTCTCTGACTCTTGAACTACAGACCTAACCAAGCACACTACAAGTCTGGACTATTCAGAAACATAAAAGACAGGACGTGCCTTAAAGGACAAGTTCACCTTTAAGTAAAAAGCCCACCTCTATGGTCCCTTAAGTTAACTTTAGCTAAACCACCACCCAGGTGCTTACTTAGTTCTTTGATTGCCACAGCACGTAAATTACATCACTAGTCTCTGACGTTTGATCTGCAGACCTAACCCAGCACGCTAGAAGTCTGGACTGTTCAAAATAGAATGTTTTTAAAGGACAATATCACCTTTAAGTAAAAAGCACACCTTCATGGTCCCTTAAATTATCCTTAGATGAACCCTCACCCAGATGCTTTTTACGTCTTCCATGGCCACAGCATGTAAATGGCATCACTGGTCTCTCACTCTTGAACTACAGACCTAACCCAGTACACTACAAGTCTGGACTGTTCAAAAATAGGATGTGCTTAAAGGAGAAGATCACTTTTAAGTAAAAAGCCACCTGTATGGTCCCTTAAACGATCTTCAGTTGAACCACCACCCAGGTGCTTAATTACTTCTCCATTACCACAGCATGTAAATGGCGTCACTGGCCACTGACTCTTGAAGTACAGACATAACCCAGCACACTATAAGCCTGGACTGTTCAGAAACATAAAAGACAGGACATGCTTTAAAGGCAAGTTCAACTTTATGGAAAAAGCCCACCTCCATGGTCCCTTAAACTATCCTAAGCTGAACCCCCAGCCAGATTCCTACCTATTTCGTACATTGCCAAAATCTTTCTACATTGGTTACGTACCATCTAGCAAAATCTACTGCTTTGCTGTCGGTGCCTGCACAGTAACCCATAGATTTGAATGGCATGTACCCTGCTTTTGGAGAAATGTCCTAATTAAGTATATAGGACATTGCTGTGAAGACGTGGGCTGCGCTATACTAATTTTTGCTGAACAGAATGTAAAAAACATGGGAGGCTGCCAGATCGAGGCAGCAGCATCTATTACCCTTCCACTAAGGCTAAATGCCAGGCTGCTCTGAAGAGCAAAGCTCCAGCCTTTCATGGTAGCATTATCTGCCTCTTCATCCCCATTCACAACTGAGCATTTTGTAGCTCAAAGCTACAAAATGCTCAACAAGCAAAATTCCATGCTTTTAAATTGTCCTTGTTCATATTTGAGTTTTGAGATGCCTATAGCTCAACACCTGGAGTTCAGAATGATACTACTACTTTTGAAGTATAATAGGATGTTTTTAGCCTCATTGGTTTCAACACACAAATATGCAAACAAGAAAAAGGGGGCAAAAAATACACACTCGTGCCCCGAAGAAGCTTCTGTGCAGCATGTCATTCCTAAAAATGCACATAAAAAAGGGGGGGATTCATAGGCCAATAGGAATGTGTGGGGCAGGACAGAGCTTTATCCATTGGAAAGGACCAGCATTTTGGTCATAACACCAGGATCTCCTTTTTTTTTTTTTTTTTTTTAATTATTTTTAGACTTAAATTCTTAACCCAATGTTTATATTGACCAGTAACACTTTTTATCTCTAAGTCTAAACCTACCGCCTAATCCATTAAATGACAACACTAATCTATCGGCCGAAAATAGGGTTACTGGCAATTTGCTGATAGAAAAAAAAAAGGTGCCAATAATATCATTGACTTCAATGCAGAATCGCATCCTATTGGCTCCAATGCAAAATCACGTCCCATTGACTCCAATGTAAAAACGCCCCCTATTGACTCCAATGCAAAAGCGTCCCATTGACTCCAATGAAAAATTGCGTCCCATTGACTCCAATGCAAAACGCTTCTATTTAAGTTTTTTAAAATTTCATTTTATTTTCTGTCTATTTTTTGCGTGCTACTTTCAATAAAAGTTATTTTACATTACTGGATTGTATTTTTTGAATTCACATCAATTTAAATGCATGATATTAATTAAAATGTAGAATATATAAAACAAATATATATAAAAAAATATTTTTTTTTTAAATTGTCCATTGGTTTTGGTTTTTGGCCAAGTGCATCCTGAATTTTAGGTTTTGGTCCAGAATTTTTATTTCGGTGCACCACTAGACATTATCCCTAAACCCTAATCTCGAACCTAACCCTCAAAACTAAGTTATGCCCTCTATGCCCCATTTTTTATCTTCTCTTTAACCATAGGGTGCAAACCATCCAGTTGCAAGACTGGTGCTCAGAACTCCTGGGCCTGCACCAAAACCTACCTGTGCCCCAATTACATTGCCAAAAACAACAAACAAAAGTAAATGTATAGTTTTAGATATATTTTAAATCCACTCCAAAGTAGCAAGGAAGGATTTTAATTACCATGGTATAGAGAACTTGGTATAATCCCACCCCCACCCCTACCCCCCACCAGTCCTGGTGTGGCTTCAGCTATATTAATACCTTTGTTGCTTGTATTAGCGGGCTTTAAACCCAACTGGAAATACTTGTCACTTTTGTCTATGGTATGATCTGTTGACCTGATCTTGCTTTTTTTTGCAGTTCCACCATACATTCAGCCATTTGAGTCCCAAAGATTTTCCATTGGTCAGAGAGTCTTCATCCCATGTGTTGTGGTCTCTGGAGATCTTCCCATTACAATCACCTGGCAGAAGGACGGCAGGCCGATTCCAGCCAATCTCGGGGTGACCATTGACAACATTGATTTCACCAGCTCCCTGCGGATCTCCAATCTGTCTCTGATGCACAATGGAAATTATACCTGTATCGCTCGGAACGATGCTGCAGCTGTAGAACACCAAAGTCAGTTAATTGTCAGAGGTAAATACAGGCACAAAACATCTATTTCCTTAAAATCTGTATCAAAAGCGGAACTTGAATCTAATTAGGAAACTCCACTTATTTATGCAGCTCCCTCCCCCTAAAAATGACTCATTAACCACTTGACCTCCAGAAGGTTTTACCCCCTTCATGACCAGGGTATTTTTTTGCTATTTAGCACTGCACTACTTTAACTTGCAATCGCTTGGTCATGCAACACTGTAAGCAAATGAAATTTATACAATTTTATTAAACTTGTGCTGTAGCCAATCACTGCACAGATTGTCAGGGGGTACATGCATGCCCAAAACCCGAGGTAGGCCTGTGATGTACATGTATATAGTGGTGTCTGCACTTCCCGCCCACTCACAGTAGATTTCCCTTTGAGCAGTGGTTAAACTTCAAAACAAAAAAAGTTAAATATATTATACTTACCTTTCTCTGGGCTTCTGCCCAGGTGAGGGTGATGTCATCCTCCTGCCGGTGAGATCTAGGGAATGTACAATGGCCCAAATCCCACAAGACGCATCTGCACTGTGCCATCTTATTATAAGATTTGGAGTATTCTGCAACTGTCAGGGTCACGTTGGAAAAGATGGTGGCATCACCCCCTGCGCTATGGAAGCCAGGGGAAAGGTAAGACTACCATATAACTTTTTTTTTTAGGTTTAAGGTGGCTTCTTAGTAAGAAGGGGGGGGGGGCATGAAAAATAAGCAGACTTGCTTGGAGTTCATGGTCTGCTTTAAAGTGTATGTCCAACCAAAACTTATGTTTTCACGTTTGGTTTGGAACAGTTAGGACCCCTGATGACTACAGTTTCACAGGAGAAGAAGTAAGTGTACATCTCCAACATGGATTTTTTGTTGAATTTATAATTCTTTAGTAGAGTAGGGAAAGGCTAGAGTCTCTGTCACTCAAACAAATGGAAATCTAGTGCTGGATTCAAAAGATCTGTAGATAAGTCGGTTTGTGATGAGGCACAATGGGGTTGATTTACTAAAGTCAAAGACTGTGCAGTTTGCAAGTGCCTTTGTACTGCAGTTGCTCCAGAACTTAGTAAATGAGGTAAAGCTTCACTTTGCAAAGAATACCCAATCAGATGCAAGGAAAATAAAAACAAAAATGCATTTGTGTTGGCACATGATTGGAAGTCAGCAGAGCTTCACCTCATTTACTAAGCTCTGGAGCAGCTGCAAGTGAAGAGTGCAATCCAAATGGCTCTGCTCTCTACAAAAATTGGGTGTCCCTCAAATAGGAAGCCAAGATTTGGGGATTCACATGTATAAAGGCTGATGTACAGTCTGAGAGTCAAAAACTTTCAACATTGATTCAAAAATGAACATCCAGCGCTTTTTAAGGGCACAAAGACCTCTTCCTTTTTTAGGGCTTAAATTCTAATAGATAATTACAAAGACTCAAGATTGATGCACATCACCAGGCAGTAAATATATGCTGTATAGAAACAGGGTAGTCAGAGTTTTGCTGCTCCACTGATTCTGGCTACACCTTATCTCTGTACAGCAAATGATTTGTTCCTAGTGATGTGCGCCAATCTTGAGTCTTAATAATTATCCATTACAATTTAAGCCCTGAAAAAGGGAGAGTCCTTTGCACCCCCAAAAAGTAATGGATGTTCTGTGTTATTGTTTAGAAAACAAAAGATGTACGTATTTCAGAAGTCCATATAATCACTGTGGCTGTCAAGACCAACACTGTCTACCTATAAGGAACTCCAATATCCACTTACATAAAGGTTCAGCTGTGTATTCCTGGGGAGGGGGTCCAAGATGGATAGTGCACAATCCAAAATCCAACTCTGGGCCAGAGAAGCAACAACGCGTTTAGAGGCCCCACCTCTTGCTCAGGGACTTGAGAAAAAGACGGGGCCTCGAAATGCCTTGTTCTCATGGAGACATACCGATGCTTTGGGTGGGTGAAGGCAGCAGGTCTTTGTTCCTGGGGGAGTGGATCTGGTCCAGCAGCTCCTCTTTTTTACAAGGGCTCCAGCATAGCTTTCCTTTAGCTGTAGCTTACCTGAAACTATCCTCTTCCATCCCCTTCTCCATCTGTCTGACCTAGAGTTGGATTCTGGATTATGCGCCATCCACCCAGTTATCATTTGTGAACCAATATTAATTTTAAATATTAATATACTCACAAACAAAAAAGTAAAACAAGCGTGTAAAGTCCTTAGTGAGACTTAAACAGTCAGAGACCACCGCTAGTCTAACCAGGATGGAAAATTCCTAGAGTCAGGCTGACACGTTTGGAAGGGAGTCCCTTCTTCCTCAGAGCTCTGAGGAAGAAGGGACTCCCTTCGAAATGTGCCAGACTGACTGTGAGAATCTTCTCTCCTGGTTAGACTCGCGCTGGTCTCTGACTGTTTAAGTCTTGCTAAGGACTTTACACGCTTGTTTTACTTTTTTGTTTGTGAGTATATTTTCAAATTCAATACAATCACATTTTGCTGAGGTAATGCGCAAGGTTGGTGCGCTTTCTTTTTGTTTCACTTTACAGTATTGGTCGAGCATCCCCAGCCTTGTTTAGAGCCGTACAACCTTTGATGCTTTGGTGACGAACTTCTTCAAGTTCCGGGTCCATCTATGCACCCTTGTTCTGGGTCATAGAGCAGGAGGTGTTGCTTTTTATTACACTGGCCTATTGACATATGTCCGAGGCTCTGGCGGTGCAGATTTAGTGCGGTTTTAAAAAGAGTCCTGTCCGATTTCTGAGCAGTGCGGTCCAGTTCAATTGCAGATTACAGGTTATTGACTTCTATGGGAACCGTTTCTAAAGCGCAAATGTGTGAACAGGATAAGATCCTGAGCTACTCCTGTCCTGAACCTGATGTAAACCTGAAGTGAACCTGTGAACAGCTACTATATCAATTAGCTGTGAATCCTGAGCGTCAGTCTGCACCGCATATGTGTGAATCAGCTCTTAGTCCTTATAATTATCCATTTTAAGCCCCAAAAAGGGGAAGGACTTTAACCTCCCTGGCGGTATTCCCGAGTGTAGCTCGGGGTAAAGTTTCAGTAACACAAGCGGTAACCCCGAGCTACACTCGGGAATACCATGCGGCACTGCTCCGCCATCCCTCGATCACTTACCTTGTCCTGCGCTCCCGCGATGTCCCTCCTGCAGTGTCCCCGGCAATGTAATCTGGCGGATGCCGGCATCTGACTTCTGGTTTCCGTCCCCTGCGACGTCGGGACGTACGGGGGAAGGAACGGCGGGAAATTTGAAAATGACAAAAAGTGACATTCACTAAAATCACTAAAATCACATAGTATAACATTCCTGTATCAATCCATTTCACATACATTTTGTCCCGAGTGCTTTGTCCTGCGCCCTGCCTGCATTTTTACTGTTCTTTCTGCCTGGAAACTGGAAATGTCCATGGCGTCCAAAAATCGGTTTTAGACCAGCTTGAGAACAGCAATAGTAAATCAGAATTGAGTGATAATGATTCGTGGGGAAATTCGTCATCAGACACTGAAAGCGATTTTGCGACTTTGCTCAATGATGTGTGAACTTGGCGCTCTATTTAAAATTTCAGTGTTTTTGGTTTGATTATATTATTGAATTAAATGTATGATTATTATATTATTATTTTTTATGATTATTTATTCAATTATAATTTATGATTTCGTGTTTCAAGTTTTATCCTACCCGGGATGTTTACTAGACTCTTGTTCGGACAGATTTCAGTGAGTTATTCCTAAAAATTACAGCCTACAATATAAAACGCCAAATTTCCATGCAAAAAAGTACCGCTTTCAGCACCAAAAATCTGAAATAATCATACCGTCAGGGAGGTTAAGCTTCTGAAACACGTTTTATGTTGTCCTTTGTGAACCAATATTAAAGGATAAGTTAACCTTTTGTCCAAAAATAATAAATGCACGTTTTTCTTGCAGGTACAAAAATGTGCATTTATTATTTTTGGTTGCAGGAGCCTGTAAAGCTTTGCACAAGCGATCAGCAGATTGCTGGTGACATGCAAGTCTCCTGCAGACCTGTCAGTATATCTGGGACGTATGGGCAAGCAGATGTACTAACAGGAAGATTCAATGAACTACCATGGCGCTCCACAGTGCCATGGAAGTTCATCGAGAACTACAAGCAGACAGCTGCTAAGGCTGTTGGAACTTGTAGTTCATTTATTCACAGAACACTGTGAATGATTGATGCTGCTGTGTGGGTGGAGCCCTTCACAGCTGCGCTGTTTTTTAAAAAGTGTTGGTCTCCCCGTATTGCTGTCATGAGGGGGAAGGAAATTGGCCGGGACTGAAGCATTGGGAACATATTCGATGTTCCACCCTAAAGACTTGTGGAACATGTAACATGTTCCCAAGAGTGAACTTATCCTTTAAGAGTTTGTGGACTCTCAGACTGTTCAATAGACTCTCTAATTAGACTTCATATATGTGAAGCTTTTTATCACTGTGGGAGAAATTTACTAAAATGGGAGTACAAAATCTGGTGCAACTTTCCACAGAAACCAATCAGCTTCCATGTAAGACAGGAATGGCCGGCACTCAGGATGAAATCCAACTATATACTGCTTTATTGTAAAGACATGTACAAAGCTAAAATCTTCCAACACGTTTCGGACAAATCAGTCCTTAGTCATGCACCATGGCTAAGGACTGATTTGTCTGAAACGCATTGGAGATTTTAGCATTGTACATGCCTTTACAATAAAGAAGTATACAGTTGGATTTCATCCTGAGAGCCGGCCATTCCTGTCTTACATGTATCCTTGGGAGTTTTGGCAGCTCTTGGGTCTGAGCAGCGGGCGGAGCAGCCATTGAGGGAGATGGTAGTGTCCTCACACCTGTTTTTCCAATCAGCTTCCAGGATTTATTGTCAAAGCTTAATTGAATAAACTGAAGTTCTATGTGCTGCTCCACTTTTAGTAAATCCCCCTCCTGTGTACTTCCAGATTTTCCCTAATTTCCTTTCTGGTGAAATCATCATTGGAACAGGAAATAGA